TAGTCCAGTCTGAGGTCAGCAGGCCTCCTACAGACTCTACGAGACTCTGGTGACCACTAATGCTGGATACATACCTGCTGCAGACATCTAGTGAAATAGTGGCTCTATACAACCATACGAAGCAGGACTGCTCTGACCATGGTATTTCATACAAACTTTAAGGGGACTATCAAATAACAGCAGCTGAGTTACCCCTCACAGCTAATTTTTATTCTGAATCAATAAACCTAGACATGTAGGTCTCCACAGTCCACAATGCCTTAACTGATCCATCTCGTTCTCCATGAACACCTACTAAAGGAAAGAGTTTGAGGCATTATGTGTCATGATGTATCACTGCTTCGAAAAATAACTTGTAGTAACAGGCATGAAACCAGGTTCAGATGTGCTTAAGTACTGAGCTGATTACTCAAGTATGAATAGGTCTTTTGAGCATACAATTGATTTTTTAGCATGTATCAAGTATCAAGATCTTCAATTTTATTTTATAAAAGTGGGCTACGTTTGTACAAGTATCTATTTGTTGTTGTTGTTAAGTGCCGTCAAGTCGGTTCCGACCCATAGCGACCCTGTACTACAAGTATCTATAAGTGGCTGAAAATAACAAGACTGCATGCTTTTTATGCCTAAATATAACCAGGGAATGGAGTCAAACATGAACCTATCAGCAAAAATGTGATAAACAAAAAGCCAAGCAAGGAAAATGCTGAAGAATGAAGAAACCCATATAAAGGCTTTCGAAGACTCCAAACTTAATTAAAGTAACAATAAATAAATAAATAAATAAAGTTAGCTGTGTAGATCACCTACAAAGATTTCCTGTCTGCAAAATTTGTCATGAAGGTCTTCCCACTGCTAAAACCCAATGCTTTGCTACCACTTGGATTCACTTTCAATTTCAATAACTGATAGAAATTTCTAACCTAGACCTTACTTTTGGCATATGAATAATAATTTTAAATCAGAATCACAAAACTAATGCCTCACTATTAATTTCCTAATTTATGAGAGAAAAAAAATGCAATCGTTAATTCTAAAAAGGCCATTTAATATCTTATCCCAATTACTCTTCTAGGAAGAAGGGGAAGGGAGTGGATGCTTAGAATTGCAATAGAACGCAATGTTTACAACAATATAAAACATCTGGAAATAAGATCAAAGGCCAATAAATATTTCATCTTTCATGAAACACTGGAAAATACTGAAAGTATCCTGCTACACCATGGAAAGACAGAGTAGCCATGATCTACTTCCTGAATTACTCTTTGGATACCTAATTCCATTGGCCTTAACTGCTTATAAAGTGTGCAAGACAATTAGGGAGAATTTGTCTTAAATTCAGCTTTGAAAGAAGCAAGAATGAATATAAGCTCTAATCACAGACCACTATGGATCATTAGAGCAATTAAGAATGCAGTTACAGTCTTAAAACCCTTCTATACAAATATTATGCTAACCTTTGGACCCAGGTTTCAAACTTGCAAAAACTTTGGGGTTCTTAAGGGCAAGTGAAAGCTCATTGAGGAAGGAAATAAAGTGGGAGTCTCTCTCAGATTTCTTTGACTCAAAAATGACAACAATGGTAAAGTGAGGTTCTGGGCGGGTCAGAAAGTAGGTGCTCTGGACTTTGTCATCATAGAAGTGGACCACTTTCTCCAAGCTGTTCAGGTCAGACATTCGGTCTGTCATGATCATGATGACATTGGGCCAGTGCATGACAGGTCTGTCACTGGGCAGAGACACCACTGCTGGGTACTGGTCCACACCCTTGGGGGCCTCTCTGTAGGAATGGGGGTGGTGATAGCCATGGCCCTGAAAACTCTCCGAACCTCGGTTGTCAAAAATTAAGGACACATTGGCAGCATCATATTTCCTGATGAAGCTGGAAATCTTTCCAAAAAGGTCTGGGTTAGCTTTTGCAGTCAACGTTTTCATTTCTGAAGCAGTCGTTTGTCGGCTCAGTGCCTCATGAAAATAAAAGCTAAACTTGGCAAGGAGCATGTTTTTGAGTTTTATCAGCCAAAGGAAAAGGTGTGGGGGCTGAACGGTCTTCTGAGATTGCCCTCCAAACAGATGTTTCTTGGTCTCCCGTTGCTTCTCAAAGATCTGGCCCCAGGTCTGCAGTTTGGTATGAGCACTGTGTAAGTTAACCAGAGATGGGAGGAACTTCCACTCTGAGACTTGAGCCTGGGCCTTCAGGAGATGACTCAGCACATCGACCTCCAGCTGGAAACTGCTCTCCAAGGGGCTGAGTATTGGGTGGTGAAATCTACAGGAGGAAGGGAAATGGACAGAAGTGGAAATGTTAGTCCACATTGATATTTCCTACCCTTTCCACGTCCCCCACCCCCCCAAAATCAATGTAGTCAGACAAATATTACATTTGGAAGCAGGGGGAAACAAGATGTAAGAATTTCATGCTGATTCGTTTGAAAAGTTATTCTGATGTAGCTTAACCATTTCAGGATTATGTCAACCTATTATTCTCCTATGCAAAGAAGCCTGAAGTTAAATAATAGTAATAATAATAATAGCTATGTCCTTTTCAAATAAAGAGAATTAAAGTGTCCAGTACATAATTATTTATTCTGGGCATTATACCTGGGTATCTGACTAACATGACCATCTAAACAAGGTACCTTCTTTACAGGGTGCAGTGCTGAATAAGCAGAGGTAAAGAAAAGAAAACTAAAACAACTGTGTAGTAACACGTATGAACTCATTTCATCTTCACAGCAATTCTATGAGGTATTATCAAACCTACTTTGCAGTTGAGAGTGCATACTATAAATCCATAACTGAAACACAGAGGATAAGCAATAAATGTTTATTAAAGATATATAACATTTACTGTTGTTGTTAAGTGCCGTCAAGTAGGTTCTGACTCATAGCAACCATATATTGGGTTTCTGAGGAGCAGCTGGTGACATTGAACCGCCAACCTTGTGGTTCAACCTGACCTTGAAGTCCAGTGCATTAACCCACAGTACCACACCAACACTTTGTTCAGTCCTGGTTCCCAAATTCCCTTCATATTTAATCACAGTTAAAGATAAAAGGGTAGTCAAACAAAACATTTAACTTTCCAAAGTTCATAGGAGAAAGTTCAAAGTTCTTAAAATGACCTATGAGACCTTGAGTGATCTGGTCCCTTCTCATCTTGAGTCACATTCCCATTCTTTCCACATTTTCCAGGCATTAAATAAGAAAATTAGGAAAGTGATGATGTTATAAAGGAGGTCAAGGTAGTAAAGCAATTGCAGTTCTATTCGTTCTAGACAAAATGTTAAAACTATTTGGCCATGCTCTACAGTAAGGAATATACTTTATGATAGAGTATATACACATATAAGTGAAAGTTTTAGTTTATATTTATACATGGTAGTAGATGTTTACCTGTGCTTTATTGACTACGCAAAG